TGTGGCTTGCATGCTGAGACCCATGCTGACTGAGATGGGGTGACCTGAGGACCCGGGGGAGTGTCTAGCAGCAAGGCCACCTGGGAGCCGAGCACACTCGTCGTATACCGACTACATCAGGACGCAGGCTTGAGCGACTGCGAGAGGAGGGCAGAGGACTCCTTCAGTGTGAGAGGCTTTCACGGGGTCCAGACCCCAGAAGACAACTCTGAGGAGCGGGAGCCAGGGGGTGTTCGGGGCAGGCAGCCCCCAGCTGCAGGACATCACAAAGTTCTCCGAGATGGATATCTCATCCAGGTATCTCAAAACCATATTCTGCCCTATAAATCTGCATCATTGATGGCACAGAGGAAGTTTTCTGTTTTTTCAGTACCGATTATAAAACCAGGGCCTTGACATTGAGCTACATCCCCAGCCCCCTTTGTATCATTGTTTTTGAGATAGGGCCTTGCTAAGTTGCTGGGCTGGAACTTGCAGTTCTCCTGCTTCAGCCTCCTGAGTGCTGGGATGACTGGCATGCACCACTATGCCCGGCTACACAGGCAGTCCTTGTCCTGAGCATCTGCAGATGCCTGGAAGCCCGGATTCTCCTTCCAGGTGCCATCATAGGGAGCAGGGTGGGGTGGGCTGTCACTTGTTCCCTCAGTTCCCGGAAGTGGGGAGACTCAGACCCTTCTCCTCAGAAGCCCTTAGCCTTCTGGAGTGCCAGTGTAACCCACCATGGTGGATGCCTGCCGCGGGACCACCCTGCCAGGTGCTATGGGCCCCACTTTCATGTTAACAGAGGGAGGCCCTGTCCTCAAGCCCTACTCAGATCTGAAGGCAGAAAATCCCACTGAGGAGGCAGCAGCTCTGGCCGCACAGCGCAGGCGGAGGCAGCGAGGCTCGGGTCTCGAAGGATGTGGCTGTGGCTGGCACAGCGGGAAGAAGGCATCATCTCCTCTGCTGATCTATTCAGCCTGGCTGTGCCTGGGCAGGAGCTGCCACTTCCTGCACCCCCGACTTGAGGTCATGATTAACAATTAATTGGCTGTGAGATACAGGCAGGCGGCACAGAGCACGGGTCACTGGCCCCATCTGGATGCCAGGCTGTGGCCAACAGTCTCCTGGCAATTTAGCAAAGTAACCTGCTGAGGTTTCTGATGAAAACCTGGCCACTCCCTGGGTACCGGGGTGGGAGGGAAGGAGGGTGAGGGGCCACCTTAAGGCCCTGGCGGGATAGGGAGCTTTCCTTTCTGCATCTGAGGGGGCAAAGGATACAGAGTGCAAAGCGCTAGATGTTACACTTAGAAAAGCTATCACCGCATCACATTTTCTTGTTTGTTTTTGTTTTTCATGATACTGGCGATGGAACCCAGGGGTGCTCTGGCACTGGGCTACATGCCAGCCTCCTCTATGGCTGAGCCAGGGTCTCTGGGTTCAAACTTACGATCCTCCTGCCTCAGCCTCCTAGAGTAGCTGGGCCCATAGGTGTGCACCACTGCATCTGGCTCAGGTCATCTAGTGTAACAAGTGACAGAGTGACTGTGGGTAAACACAGCTGCTCCTGGATGGGGCGTCTTAGGGATTGATTGAATTGTTAGCAAGAGGACTCTGAAATTTATTTACAGAACACTGTGCTCCTAGAGCGCTCTTCACAACAGCCCCAAGCAGGCACAGTCCAGCTGCTACCTGTAACAGATGAGTGGGTGAGCAGCACGGCAGGGTCCAGGAGATCAGCGGAACCCTCATGATTCAGCCTCAGATACACACTGCCCAGGGGTGAACCACGAGGGTACAAGAGCTACTCAAAACATACAGTACATGTGTAAAGTTTAAATTTTATTAAAGTAAAATTGCTGTTCACCCCCTCAAAGTACTCCTCCAAGACACTTATCCCTTTCTGAAGCAGTTCTGCAAATCCTCTTTCATGAGTGTCTTTATGAGGTGCGATCAAAAATATGGTGAATGTTGCTGACCAGTGCCATCAAAAGGAAAGGATTATAAAAATGTTACAGTGTATCCTCATCTACCTTGTCACTGGATCTGGCATTGTATGACTTCTAGCTCTTCCCCAAAGCCAAAATGACCATGAAAGGGCATGTTCTCAGTTCCAGACTCCAAAGTGGCCAATAGTGTAATTAACTACAGACATTCAAGACAGAGGAATTACAGAACTGCTCCAGAAGGTGGCAGAACGGGGAGGCAAGTGTGTCTGAAGTGAGGGGGATTCGTGGCAATGTGCTTTTTACTATAATAAAAGTTTTAAACGTTCACTGTATTTTTTTTTTTTTTTTTAATTTTAGGGAAGGGCCTACAGGGTGTTTAGCGTCTCACCACTAGATCGGACTCCTAGTGATTTGCCTGTTTACAGCCTCCCAAGAGCTGGGATCACAGATATGCACTAGCACGCCCAGTCTCAATTGCGATCTCATCGCACCCCGGGGACGGGGCCAGCATGGCAGGCCTGGGGATTGAACCCCTGGCCCCTGAGCCTGCTTGCAAGCACTTTAATTCACTGAACTATTTGGCCGGCCCTTTCACTGTATTTTTTAATCACACCTCATATTATGATAACAATGAAATAAACCAGACCCCAAAGGACAAGTCCTGAACCATTCCCATTAGATGGACCATGTGGCCACATCCGTAGAGCCAGGAAGCAGGATGTGGTTGCCAGGGGCAGTAGGAGGTGGGAAGGATGGGGAGTTTGTGTTTCGGGGACCTAGAGTTCCACCTGGGGACAGCGGGAAGGTTCTGGAGATGAACTGTGAGGACAGACACACAACAGAATAAATGGACTTAATGTCACAGACCATGGACTTAAAAATGACCCAGCAGGTGCATGTCAGGTACCTGTACTACACCAAAAAGGTTTTAAACTCTAAGCGCATAGTTTGGCTGAAATATTTTCATAGCCAAATCTGTACTGAGTCTCCCAGTGGGAAGGGGCAGGGTAACAGGGATGTCTTTGAAGGCTAAGAGCATGGGGTCAGGACTCAGGTACAGGTGAGAATTCCAGGCTACAGCTGCCCGGCTCGGGTGGAGAAGGTGGTAGCTCGGGCCACGCTTCATCCTCCTCGCTGTCTTTGTGGTCCTGACAGCTTTCCGGCTGGTACCAAGCTCAGAAACCTGGGTCTGTGGGGTGGGGCCTATGATTCCATCTTTTTCCCTCAGGTCCTGCTCTTTTTTAAAAAAATAAGAAATAAAAAAAAAATTGTTTTTTGGTGCTTCTGGGATTGAACTCAGATCTTTGCACTAAGCTACATGCCCAGTTCTTTATTTTAATTTTCTTTTTCTTTTTTCTTCTTCTTTTTTTTTTTTTTGGTGGAACTGAGGATTGAACTCAGGCCTTTGTGCTTGCCAAGCAAGGGCACAGAGCTACCTCCCTGGCCCCAGAAGTTCAGAAGGATTTTTTTTGGCTGACTCAGGATGCCTTAAGGGCAGGTCTGGTAAGGCATGAGGATCTGGGGATTGAACCACAGAATCCTAAACCTGACTGCTTTGCTTAAGCAGGCACTTAAACAACTGAGCCAATGGGCAGGCCCCCCCTCTTTTATTTTGATTTTTGTTTGTTTTGAGACAGGGTCTTGCTACGGAGTTCAGGTTGGCTTTGAACTCATTATATAGCCCAGGCTGGCCTCTAAGAGCAAACCTGCCTCAATCTCTTGAGTGCTGGAGTTACAGGCATGTACCCCTGCACTCCACCTCAGCTCTATATTTTAAAATTTTATTTTGAGAAAGAGTCTTGCTAAGTTGCTATCTTGTCCAGGCTAGGCTTGAATTTATTTATTTTTCTTTTTTTTTTTTTTTTTTTTTTTTTTTTTTTTT